TCCTTTCCTACCTTTCCCCCTCGTATCATTCATTTCATTTCAGACCTGCAGCTTCCTCGCTGGACCACCGCGATCTTCCCCTCCAGCTGCTGAGCATTCTTGATGGGCCTGCGGGAAAGTGTAAACTGACAAGGGGTAGGAAGACAGAGGAGGGGGGGGAAGAGAACAACAAGAGCATAGAAAAAGACAGGGAAGAGATCAAGATTGGGAAAGAGATTGAGAATGGGTGGAGGGAGGGAGGAGGAATGGAAGAGAAAAGATGGGGAAGGACGAGACTTGTTAGCTCGGAAAGGCACAGCGTAAGCGAGCTTCGCGTCAATGGCTTTCTTCTTGCAATGCGAGTAATTGCCAAGCCCAACTGAAGAAGCGAGAAAGTCAAGAGGAGGAAGGAGACAAAGAATAGAGAGGAAGAAAGGGAGGGAGAAGGAAAGAGCTCTGTGGTCTTACATGGTTGGGTCTTATCACCCCTTGAGCAAGCTGTGATGGTAACCCTTGTAGTCTCTTCGATTGTATCCGGCTCGTCGAGAAGCTCTGAGGAGTTTCAACTATGAGACAACGCAAGGCAAGGCAAGGCAAGGCAAGGCAAGGTAAGGTAGGGTAGGGTAGGGAAGGGTAGGGAAGGGAAGAGTAAGGAGGGTAAGGCAGGGAATGGGAGGGGAGGAAAGGGGGGGGCGGGGGGTCCCTCACCTTTTGAGATGGGCTCAGCGCCCTCGGAGAGTTTCTTAGTGCCGTCATAAGTAACGCGATATCGCCGTCCCGTCTTGAGCTCCAGCAGGATGCCCTCGCCCTTGGGCTTGTGCTGCATCTGCTCTCACTGCTGCTCCCGTCACCTCCTCTTACCATCTCGAAGGTCCCCGTCATCATATCGCCGTTGGGGAAAAAGAACTTTCCTTTGCCGTGCATCATCTACGGAGGACGTGAGACGAGACCAGAAAGGTTGACATCCCCTCACGTCTCCCCTCCTCCTCCTCCAGACTTCATCCCACCTGATCTTTCATCTCCCCGTGGTATGCCATGTCCAACTCATTCCAGATGCTCCTCCCGAACCCGTTGGCTGCTCCCGACACAAACTCTCCTTCGAAGTCTCCGTTGCGAAACATGACGCGAGCCCATCCAGTACTGCCAGCAAGTGAGACGGCAGGAGGTCACTGGCTGCACCTACAGCTCGGGTGGGAGACCCTTGGACCCGTCGATCGCGTTGCCGCCGGGAGGAACACCTCCCTGCGCCACGAGTGACTCGCCTGGGAGGAGGCAGAGCAGAAGGAGGTCGAAGCATACCGTAGATTGACTCGGTGCTTGAGATGAAGCAACAGACTGAAAGATGCCAAGCGATCAAACATGGAGAGGCAAAAGCGTGCTGAACCTGTGCTTCACCTGCTCCCGAGGAAATAGGATCCTGCACAGGCTGTGAGGAAGGAGGAGGAGGAGGAAGAAGAGCACCTTGTCAAGTGCCTTCTCACTCTCACTGCGCACGCCAACGTCGCTTGAGAAGCTTCGAGCAGTGCTAGGGAGCGACGTTCGCATCTCCTGCTGCAGAGGATGAGGGTCTCCAGGCAAGGAGGCGATCTCCTTCACCTGGATCTCTTTGACGAGAGCTGCCTTTTCCTGCTGCGCCTGAAGTGGAACAAAAGCATGGAAGGAAACATGTCACGTCCTGCTCGAGCTGACGAGCATCACTCGCCTGCTGCTGCATCAGAGCCATCTGACGCCTCATCTCTTCGATCTGCTGCTCCAACGCTGCCGTCTTTGATGGCTCCCCATCCTGCCACAAACTCGCTGAGCGACTTTCAGCAACCGCACACGCCTGCCTTGCTCCCATCATCCCACGAGGGGGGGCGAGCTGCCTGAAGTGAAGTCAGCATGAGTCGAGCAGCTGCAAGGTAATGGCATGTAGCGCACTTGATCTTGACGGGCGCTAGATCGCGCGAGCCACCTGTCGAGCTTCGACTGCTTCGGTTGAGACCCTTCGCTCGTGGGGGACGCGATTGAACCTGAGAGGTAGAGCCGATTGACCGCTGATACTACCTTCGACCGCACCCATCCACCCACCTCCTCCTCTCCTCCTCCTGTACCTCTGCCCCATCCTCCTCTCCTCCTCCTGTACCTCTGCTATTATGTCTTGCCCTCTCGCCCCATCCTATCCACCGACATCAGTGTCCAACAGGAAGCAACCATCTCACCATTTGATCCAGCAATTTGGCAGACTCTCTGCTCGAGCTCTGCAACGTCCGGGTGTCACATACACGGGGAGGGGAGCGAAGAAGAGAGGGCGGAGGGATGAGACACAAGAGAAGCGATGGTGACGAGAGGACAGCAAGGCAAGCTCGTCAGAACGTCTGAGACTGACCGAGTCTTGCGAGTTTCGATTCTTAGCAGCTTCTACGCGCTTCACCCATTTGTCCAGCTTTGCTTTGCCGGACATGAGGGTCCTGCAGCAGGAATTGAGAATTGAAACGAGACTCCTTCCGCCAATCTTTCCATCAACGTCTTTGACTTCGATCATACAGCTTTACCTCCCTGAACTCCTCCCCCCTACCACCCTCCCTCCCTCCCTCCCTCCCTCCCTCCCTCCCTCCCTGTTTCTCTTCTCCTTCCCTTCCTCCCCTTCTGCATTGCCCCTCTGCCATCAATCTATTTTTATCGCTCCCATTCCGATCATCATCGCCCTCATACCCTGCACCTCATAGCACACCGCCCGGTGTGATCGCCGCCGCGACTTCAGGGCCCGGCCCGGCCTTCCACTAGCACTAGAAAGCTTTCGGAGCGGCAGTCTGACGACCGTCACACTGTAGAGGCGAACAAGCTCAGGCGCTACCGATTGGCATCATGGTATGATCATCGGATCATGGAACTGACTCAGCCTGGCTGCGGCCCCGGCACATGCAACGATCGGACGGCCGGGCTCACGGTAGGACGACTACTACATGCAAGGATGACTAGACAACATGCAAGGGCGACTAGACATGCAAGGACGTGACTTTAACAGGCAGTTCGAACTTGGAGTGATGCCTTTATTGGCATGCAGTAAGGAGACCGCGCAATGGAGCTTACGAATAGTCGAGGTGCACACAATTTCAACCATTAATGCTGTTTTGTCAAGCTCAGAACTGAATCAAATAACTTGAGGTGGCCACGGCGTTTCACTGTTTCCTTATACGGAATGAAACAAACTGTTGCTCAGCATTTGATTCAGTCCTGACGTCCTCTAAAGGTTATATCTGCATTTGAGTCACCTTGTCTTTCCCTTCCTCTCCCCTTCCCTACCTCTTCCCCCTCCTTCCCAAAATTCCTTAAACCCTACCTCTCCATGCCATGCTCTCACCTACTACCATCGGATTTTCCTTCCTCCGGTCTCTTCGACTGAATCAGCAGAAACTGAAGCATTTCTTCCCTTAACTTGCACCTCCTTGATGTACATGCGGTCACTTCATGACAAACTTTCGGACGGAGCAAAGCTCCTCCTGCTCCTCCTCTCCCCCTCCTCTCCTTCTCCCTCTTTCCCCTTCCTTTCCTTTGCACCTACTCTCCTCCCTCTCATCCTCCTCCACTTCCTCCTCCTCCTCCTTCTCTGCCCATGCTCCTTCTGCCATGCTGCTTGGTCCATGCGAGCCTTTCCATTTCACTTTCTAAAAAACTGTACCTGAAAGTTTACTCAAATGTAAAGGGTCGGTTTGAGTAAAATGATGGCGGTTACCTCTGAGGATCTGCCCCCGGGGGTGGGGGTGGTAAATGAAATGTCTGCTAGGGGGTGGGGTACTGTTAGACAGTTGGAGTTGGGATGGTGTGAATTGAGGGGTAGGGGTACCTTGATGGGAGAAACCGAGGGGGTGGGGTGGGTATCCCTTGTAATTTATTGAGTAAATTGCTGGCCGTTACCTATGAACAAGTTTTATAAGTCAGGATATCTAAAACTAAATAATAGATGGGGCTTGATTACTATGGATGAGAGAACTAAAATATTTTGAAATCTATATAAGGTCGTTTGGTGGTAGCAAAAGTGAATATAACAGACTGAAATTAGTGGTGGTCTGATAAATAATTCTCACAAAACCCTATACAAAATATTTTATAATATATATATATAATTAGGGTGTTCTTTATTATTTGTACTTCTTTACCAAATAGCAGTACAGTCCCAAAATTTTCTGCTTTCCTTTCGACACGTACCAATTTTACTCAACTGAGGGCCATGGCGGGCAAGCAGCGCTGCAGTAGGATGAGGGCTTGTTGAGGAAGAGGCGGAGGGAGAAGAGGGAGAAGAAAAGAAGAAAGGAAGAGACCGATCAGCTTCTGACTACTGGACGTGTCGTGGTGTGCTCCTGCCTCTGGTCTTGTCGTGTTCTGCTGCAAGCGCGTCGCTGCCTTCTTTGTTGGTTTGCACTTGATTGGGGCTATCCTCGTGCGCCTCGACGTCTCATCGCGGAAGGACAGCCGCAATGTCTGACCACATGGATTGTAACAGAGAGAACGACTGCCATTACCTTGCTCGCTCCATTCAGAGCACCAACAACACTAATGCCGGATCGGGTCCGATGACTGATGTTGCCACAAACTCTCCACATATAGCATCGGCATACAAGGATGGATGGTCACCCTACGGTCTTTGTTCCAGTCCCCCTGCTAGGCGAAAAGTTTGTCCATCCACGTTCTCGACGGCAACCGACAGATTCATTCCATGCCGTGCTCCTCTAGACACCAAGTTTTCCAACTTTCTGCTCTCCAACTACGGCGACGTTCATGATTGTGAAAGTTCTCCCAGCCGACAAGACTACATGAACACGCTCAAACAGAGTGTGCTAGAAGGGCAGGCTGATGCCATGGTGCTTCCACTGCGCCCGAGGGAAACGGCAGATCAGCCTACAGGAGAAAGTTTCACTTCGTTCCTCTCGTCAGAGAATGGCTCGATGAAGAGGAGACGTACTACTAGGTTCATACCCAAGTCGCCCGACAAGATTTTGGATGCTCCTGACTTGGTGGACGACTATTATCTGAACCTTCTTGACTGGAGCAAGTCAAACATCCTCGCTGTGGCACTGAGGCAAAGCGTGTTCCTCTGGAATGCGTCGAATGGAGCAGCGCACAAACTGATGGAGACTAGCGGGAGGGGGAACATCGTCACCTCCCTGGCATGGGGAGATGTGCCGAGTGGCAACACGCTAGCAGTCGGAACTCACTTCTCAGAAGTCCAGCTGTGGGACGTTACGACTGGAACTGTGATCAGACAGATGGGGGGTCATCGATCCCGCGTCTCGAGCATGTCTTGGAATGGACAGGTACACTGCCGCTTGCTCGCTGTCTTGAGCTCATTCTCACCCTCATCCTTCTCATCCTTCTCATCCTCATCCTCTCCCTGCAGATTGTTAGCAGTGGCTCCCGCGACTCGACCATCCACAACCATGATGTGCGGGCACGAGACCACCAGGTGACGCAGCGTGAATGTTAGGGTAGAGGGGTTTAGGTTTAGGTTTAGGTTTAGTTTCGAACGCCATTACTGACCGTTCCTCTGCGGCCCACAGGTGGCGGAACTGATAGGACACACTCAAGAAGTCTGCGGGCTGAAATGGTCCCCGCAAGGCACTCAGTTGGCATCGGGCGGCAACGACAACATCTTGAACATCTGGGAGGTAAGGAGGATCTGCTGTGACTTACTGCTGAACTGCTCGTTCGTGTCAGTCTCGGCGCAACCAATCGAAATTCTCCATCGCCAGACACCAGGTGGGCCTGCTGAGCGCTTTGCTCCCTCGTCTCATGCGCTTTTACCCGCTACAGGCAGCGGTGAAGGCATTGGCATGGTGCCCCTTTCATTCGAACCTGCTCGCCTCAGGAGGAGGAACTGCCGACAGGAAGATCTGTTTATGGAACACGAGCAATGGGCAGTGCATGAACGAGGTCGACACCAAATCGCAGGTAAGGCTGCAGATGCAATAGCGTGCGATGTGGTGGCGATTTTTCCTTCCTCACTTGCCCTGGCAGGTCTGTGCGGTCCAGTGGTCAACACATGACAGGTGGAGGATGCAGCGAGGGTGCGGGAGTTGATGCTGATCGGGTGGCAGGGAGCTTGTATCCTCCCATGGGTTCACACATAACCAGTTGATCCTGTGGCGATACGCGGGGAGGTGAAGGAGCCTGGAGAGCATGCTCATGCTGATGCTGCTGCAGAGGACGAGTGCACAAGGTTGTGGAGCTGACCGGACATCAAGCTCGCGTGCTGCACATGGCGCAGTCGCCGGACGGCACTACGATTGGTGAGGAGGGATTGGGAGAGGAGGGGGGAGGTGAAGGTGACGCCCTGGCAGTCTCAGCAGCGGCAGACGAGACGCTGAGGTTTTGGCGCATCCTCGGGTCGCCGACCAGGTTGGGGGCGAGAGATGCTGATGCGATGCATGCGGTTGTGATGAGCCGAGCAGGAGCGCGGCGAAGCTCAAGATGGAGCACTCCTCTCGCGGTCTGCTGGGGGCGAACTGCATCCGATAGGCGACGAGAGAGCGAGAGAGCGATTCTAAGATTGTTGAATAATAAAGACCGACAGACAGACCTCCT